TTAACGAGACTAACAAGAACGTTGCAGTCGATCGGTTTGAAGAAGAATCTTTACTACGCCTGCGCAACATACAACTTAACCTACACAAAAGAAGATAGAAAATTATATTGGTTTCCCAAATTCGGCTGCGTATTTCACCCTAATGAGGATGAATAATGGTCATTTTGACCTGCAGGAAATTTTTCAAAGTAAAGCTTTGAAATGTTGAACTCACAAGGAAAGCGTGTTTAGTCGAAATGACTTTTTCAGATGAGAACCATACTGCTTTGAATAGTATTGCACGGTGATTCCAAATCTTGTTCCAAATCTGCCAAGCGTCCCTGGACGCCGAGTTATGGCCGTTTCTTGGAGCGAAAAATGAATGCAGAATTTGGGTAGAATTGATTATTACAATTTTTACAGTGACAGATACAGCAATGCTATGTGTTAGCATATTAGATATAATGTATCATGTATTGATTATACATTATATATTTTTATATACATTATACAGAGCAGAGTGTCCCAAAAAGATGTGCACACTGTTTGATCGCTAATAACTCTCTTGCTTTCATGTCTTTTGCTGAGCTTGAGGTACCATTCTGTAGAGCGAGGATAAACTTAGATTCACAGTACAAAGCGAATGACCATCACTCTTCGTTACTGTAAGATCACGGTATGAAATTTCAGCATACAGCGTCACTGTGGAATAAGCCTTTTGATGAGATAGTCTCGAAAATGAAAATTTGTGTAGCAAGGTTTTCAGGCGTGCTGATTTCACTACATAACTTTCCATCATTTTTTCGAGCTTTTTTGATGGCGTATTCACATTCCGACAAACAGTGGAAAATCAGTTGTTACCCTAAATCTGAAATAACTCATGAAAGAAACAACATTCTGACATGCAGTTTTCATATTTAGAATCAGCAACTTCGACTAACGCAGTTCAGGAGTCTCTGGCTCGTTTAGCTTTCTATTTTAGGCAAAATACCGCTTTCAATGGCTTAAAATCCTCAAAATTCCTACCGTAATCCTACAATAATGAAGACCTGCTGATAAGTCGCTCTATACTGTAAATCTAACTTGAACCTCGGTCTAAAGAATGGTAACTCAAGCTCAGCAAAAGACATGAAACCAAGAGACAGACATGAAAGCGTTTATTAACAATCAAACAGTGTGCACATCTTTTTGGGACACCCTGTATATAATATATTATTGTATTGATTATATATTGATTATATAATCAATACAGTAATATTATGGATGGAATATTATGGATTACATATTATTGTATAGATTACATTATTATGTATCGTAATGTATTGCATAAAGGGCTTTGATATTAGGTTGCTGCATAAGTTCTGTCCAATTTGAATTTTTTGCGTTCAAAACGTCGCAACTTCTTTCAAAATCAACTTTTTTCCAAGGTCTTACTTTTTATGTGTTGAGCAGTAGCAGCTATGGAACACGTATCAACATCTGCGCAAATCCTCGTTAAGGAAGAAGCAAGAATGCTAAACATTCACAGCGTTTTTCTTCAAACACCTTCTTTTTTGACATGGCAACGCTCCCTTATGAGAATTGATAAACATCTTATCTAACAACGGATAGATAGAAAAATTTGGTAGATTATTATGCTACATAAAGGAGCCCAAAGGGTCTGCGCTGCCGAGAACCAGCAAAAAAAGAAGCCGCTTTCTGACCACGCTTGAGCACATGTGTGCATGCCTATTTACGAATTATGAAAATTTTACAACTGAGGTGAGCGAACTGGTGAATGGACGCTGCTAGCTCAAGAACATATTTATACGGTGAAAACGTACCTCGGTCACTTGGAGATTTTAGGCCTGAAATCTCCGTACACTAAGAAATTTATTGAAATCTGATATGCGTTAGAAAGGGCAAGGAAGGCACTTTCTAATGATTTCAACAATACTGCATTAGAGATGAAACCCTCTTAGAACAGCTGCTTCAAACATAAGGTAAAAAAATCGGACAGAACTTATGCAGCAACTTGATACTTAACCCTGGACCATTTGAGCAAATTTGGGCGATTTTGTTCCAGTTTTGCATTCAGTTTTTTGACCTGAAAAACGCCCATAACTTGGCGTCTAAAGGTGCTTGGCAGATTTGGAAGGCAGATTTGAAATCATAGCTTGATGTTTTTCAAAATAGTATTGGTCTTATCTGGAAAGGCCAATTCGACTACACACGCTTCCCTTGTCACTTGATCTTTATAACATCTTTGCACAATAACGGGAAAAAAATTTCATCAAAAATACCATTTATAAATAAACATCGTTGTAAAGCTATGAGGTTTCAATATGAATACAAAAACCATAATTTTAGAAGGATCGAGCACTATGATAACGCTACTAATTAATGTGACTATTTTTCGTCCTGTCAAGCTTCGTCGGGTCTCAGAGAAGTTCAGCTACTAAGACGCGGCACCATCAGGTAAGGTTTGCCTTTGGCACTGTAAATTGCGCTGGTGAGTGCGGAAACTCGGCCACTTGGGCGACATCGTAACGGGGAATTTACACTGTACCTGTACGAACGTTTGAGCAATAATATGCAAGTTCATACACTGCGGTCAAACAATAAGGCTTCGTTTCTTCTTTGCAAAAATTCCAACGCTTGAAACCTATGCACATCTTGTATCAGTCTCCGAACAGAACCCAGCGTGAGCTAGCCCCCTAAAAACTTTGCAAAATTTCCTTAAGTTGTAAAGCACTTAGAAAATTTCCCCAGCAATCACAGAGCCTTGCTCTGGCCGGATCTTTACAAGGACGTTTTTGGCTTTTTTGACACTCGCCTGGTCTGCAAAAATTGAAGTGCAGACGAGTGTGACTACGACCACAGAAGAGATGGGCGTAGACCACCATCGAAATTCTCTGAAACGAAAACAGCCGTGCTCTCAAAATCTCTTTCTCTACGTGTGTTTTAGTTTTTGAACTTTGGGCTGAAGAGCTCGGAGTTGGCACAGAGGAGGCGGATAAGTGAGCATAATGATAACGATTGCAAAACTCATCTTCAATCAGTCTTCATTGATTTTATTAACTGCTGCAATTTCAATCTGAGGCAGCGGAATTCGACAAAGTGGTAAGCGAGCAGTTCTCTACGAATTGGTAACTGAGCATGCTGTTTACAAATAGGGCAACGTCTGAAAAACTATACGTTGCTTTTATTGATTTCATCGATCTTGGTGCACTCCAAACTTGAGCGATGGCTGGTACAGTAAGGCAGCGGGTATGCTCATTACGAATACACTGTCTGCGTTCAGAATTATCCATTGTTGTTGCTTTGATATTTTTTGCATTCGAGCTGAGAGCAGGGATTGGTACTGGAGTAAGCATGCTGCATTCATCGATTCTACTTTTGGAACTTGCTTTCTCGAGATTGATAAAGAAGCATGGATGATACGCTTATTTATATTAGGTCATTCCGAAAGTAATTTCGCTTTTTTAAACGGACGCCACATGTGACTAAACAAAGATTTCTAAGAGATCTTGGTAGCGTTCGATGCAGCATTTCATCCTCTTTCTAATGATTATGAAATTTTTGCAAAACAGTCAATGAGCTTTTAGAAAATAACCAAAATCTGCGAGCTATGCTTTTTAAGATGGTCAAGTTTCACACTTTTTTAAATTTTTCATAACTATCCTCAGAAGGAGTTCAAGTAAGGATTCGGTAGAACAAGCCTCATAGAACACAGCACAACTCTTCTTTCTTTTTCTTAACTCGCCGTTATTTTCTAAAAGGCTTTTTAGAAAAACTGTCGGATTTTGGCAGGCCTACATCAGCCACAATCGCGTCAAACATCAGAATTATTCGAAATTTGAGACTACCAACGGTACTATAAGTTAACAATAATTTTGCAAAGCAAGTGAAAGTTTACGGATTCGAAATATCAAATTTCGAGTTTGTCGGGTGCAGCCTGGAGCTCGTTCAAAAAAAAATGAGTTATGGTTATTTTATTCCCAGAAACTAAACGAATCGGAAGCAAAAAACACCGGTTAGAAAGAAAATAAAGTGCTGCATCGAATAGTGTTCGAGCTGCTATTCTTTGATGTTCTATGAGGATTTAGCTGTCCAAAATGAAAATCGGTAGCATTAGTTAAAATTCTGTTGAAAATGTATGAAAAGCTACGGAAAGAAGAAAAAAGTTGTTTTGCATTTTGTAGAGTTTTTTCTATGAACCACATTACGTGTACTTTTTCGGAGGGTTTATATAGAAGTTTTGAAAAATTGTGGAACTTGACCATCTCAAAAAGCATAGGTCGCAGATTTTGTTCATTTTCTGAAGGCCCATTGACTGCGTTGCAACAGTTTTACAACCATTAGAAAGAGAATGAAATGCTGCATTGAATGCTACAAAATCTCATAGAAATCTTTGTTCCATCACATGTGGCCCCCGTTTAGAAAAAGCGAATTTACTTTCGGAATCTTATATATAAAGCTGAATATTTGTATGTCTGTCTGTACATATGTGCGGAATAGAAATTCTTATTTGTAAACCGATTTGGACCAAACTTGGCACGCATACATTTCGATGCAGGGGACGTGTCATAGGCTACTTTTCTTCACCGATCGATATCAATTTTATCGATTTTTATCGATTTTTTTGCAGAGTTTACCTACAGGGCTGGGAGTTGGTGCAAGGAGGTAATAGAGCACCTGATTACAAATACAATATTAGTGCGGAATTATTCATTACTTTTATTGACATTATCGATTTTTTGCAAAGTTTGAGCTACAGGGCTGAGAGCAGGGCCCGGCACGAGGTTGTCAAAAGGGGTTTTCGAAAACGAATTCCCCTTTGACCCAAAAACTGTTGTCAGTGATTGCGCAGTGATCACTTTACGAACAAGTTTCATCAAAGGAAAAAAAAACAAGACCAATTTATTCATAACAATAACAATTTATGATAGGTACACGTAAGGCACGATTTACAAATTCATATATAAACGAATACGCAGATGAGAGGATCTAAGAGTGAAACTAGAGCTATGGCTTCATCCTCAACCTTCATCGGTCTTCTGCGCTGTGCAGATTTCCTCGAAAGTAAGGGCGAGGAGGAGCAGAAATTCACTGGCTTGGCTCGGACCTAAATGATATTCTCGATTTTGAAACCACGCGAAAATTTTATCACCTTCTTAAGTCGTCTTAACCTTGACGACGACGCCTAAGTTTGCATGGCGGCGCTGTGGGACGACGCGATTTTGCACAACACTTTTGGCGTGGGAAAGTTTTCAGGTTACTTACGAAAGGAAGTTGTTTTGTAAACAACTACAGCCATCTTTTTGGACGACAAAGTCTACAGGTTCCAAGAATGCAAAATATTAGAAAAAATACTGAACTGTAGAAAAAAGACCAGACCCTGGAAAGGTTATGATTTCGCAAGGGGTAGGCCACCAGTGGTCCGCATCATCAAAGGGTTTAAGAGTTTTATGAATTAAAGTAGGACGTGTCAAAACTTTTCTATTTTCATGTATGTAATTTCGATTATAGTTGGTTCGTTGAAAGCACGGACTGGGCATCACTGCGGAGCACACGCCGCGAGGTAAAACGCGTGCCCCGTACAAATTTGCCTTTTTAAAGTGTGCTCTCGCGGCAATTCAGCCGCGCCGCGCGTGGTCCGCAGCGTTTGAGCAGTCCGTGCGGTCAACGATTCGGCGTACAATGGTAACCCCCTGAATTTGCGACTCAGAACTAGCACAAACAAAGAGAAGTCTGATTCGGCAGATATATTACAAAACCCTACCATTATTGCCTGAGGGCAAAACGGCAAAACAGAAAACTGAAACAACTCTTGTAACAATTGAACGGTGTAATGCAACGTGTTATGCTAGGCATCGCATCATTGGACTGTGCTAGAACTGCAGTCGTTTTAAGAAGTCAATGCACTTCTTGCAAACCATTTTGGATTACTGCGATCCATTTATGGGAGGGATTAACATGATTCAAAAAAAAATGCGATGCAAAATCCAGAAACTTTGCCATTCTCATATAATGTCAATTCAATGGTAACTCTTGGATCTTCAATATGCAGAAGTAAGGTAGGCCACAGACTAACCAACTGCCTGCTTCAGCAGGACGCTGCGCTAATGAAAAGCTGATGTCATATGGCGTCATGTTGGACGGAAATCGAAGTGGCGTCTGCGTGTTCGCAACAGCAGTAGTTTAGAAGAGATGGTAAAAAAACACGCAGAATGAGAGAATGAGAAAGGCTTCACCATTATATATTTCTCTTGTAGCGAAATCGCGCACGCCGACTTGATTTTCCTACACGGGCATCAGATGACAGTAACTGCACCACGTCCTGCTGAAGCAGGCAATCGGTTAGTCTGGCGCCTACCTAACATAGGTAGGGAATGACTGTTGAGTGCAAAATGGCAAAAATGAAAAGATGAAGAAATCGAAACAATACGTAAGATATGGTCCGGCGTAACGCAACGAGTTACATGAGCATTAAACCAGAGCTGTGCTAGGATTGAAAGACTAATTCAAAAATCGTGCATAACAAGCGCCTCACGTTTTTTAAAAAAAATTCAAAAATTGAGAGTAGAAGTCTACTGACCTTTTCCACGGCACTGCTTCCTGTGACTACGCTGATTACGTCCAAGTTGGTGCCTTCGCAGATGTGCTTCGAGATTTCTGCTGTTTTCTGGGACCAGCAGTGATGACATTAAACTGCCTCCTGGAGGGACTCCTGCCTCCTCAGCTGCCTAAACAATATTTTATAAAGAAGTGATTATGTGCTAATTAGCGAGAAACCTGTGCTAGAGCGAGGGCGCTAAGTACCGTGACCTCAGCTGGTTTTACTACAATTGTGTAACCAGCGGCGAAGGTGCTCCAGCCTTGCGAGCATTGCCGTGGGAAACTTCCACTAGAAATAAAAATAACGAAAATTGAGTTAAGTTCGTAAGCAAACCTGCCTATTAAGAATGAATGAAAGCACATAGCATTGCACTTATTGGAGTTGTGATTATAACGCCAATCGGCTCCCGGAGCACCGCAGAAGAACAACCTTAAGAAGTGAAGGTATTACAAGGTAAATGCTACTTGGAACTTACCTGACCGTAAATACGTCTTGCTTCTTAAAAACCAGTCCAGAAAACTGGCTGAGTATTTGATTTTTCCGCGTACTTCAATCAGTGGTTTACCCTGCAAATTTCGGATGATAGTCTCATTATGGGAAACAAGTCACACAAACCTGTTCGAGAGTTTAAAGCTCAGCCAACTTTCCCTTCTTCGCGACGAGAAGGTCATTTTGTCGGTGTTGTCCCGTATTCTTTTGGAGCTGTTATGGACCTCCTCTCAAACGCTTCTTTAACAGCATGCACAGCCTGAATGGTCATCAGCATTATGCATCACAGGATTCTAAGGCTAAGATTTGGCTACAAAAGCATTTTGACAAAAAAACATAAAGAAAAAGAAAGAAAACTAAAATAACCGACGAGAAATTCAAGCTCCTGCAGTTTTGTTATAGACATAGGCATGTAGTCCATCTCACTCGTATTGAAAATGGAGAATAATAAAAAATAGCAAAGTTAATACAAAATAACAACGTGGGCGACCGGAAATGATAACAAAGATGAGTGACAGACGCGAGTGAAACGACGCAATATCGAGACGGCCATTATAGGACCCAGCGATACGCCGTTATCGATTGGAGCGCGCATTCCTCCTTAGCAAACGGGGGTGCTGAGGCTACTTTTGCCTCTAGCAATGGGGAGAGGAGGAGATTTGAAGCCAAAATTTCAAGATATACTAATCTTTAGGTGTGGAGTAGATTCATGTAAGAATTTTGAAAAAAATATGTGAATTGAGAATTTTGACAAGCTCAGCTTGTCATTAGCTTGTCAAATGACAAGTTAATTTGGAAATAAGTTAAGCACGCTCTTCATTCACATAAGTTTTTCATAATATTTCATACTTTGTTACTTAGTCCTACTGCGCAGATACACACCAAATCCCGCGCGATTTCGTCGCCTCTGCGTTGCAAACGAGCCATTTTTCCGTATCTTTGGTAGCGGGAAATTTTCAGAAAAAAAGTTTGCCACAACCTTCAGTCACATAATTTTCCAATGAAACTCCTAAGTTAACTCCCACAGGCTTGTGTCCACGTACGTACCAAGTTTCATACCATGTCGTCATCTGCGCGCTGCAAACGAGCCATTTGAATTCACATCTTCATTTACCAATTTTGCAAAATTTTCGGAAAAAATGCTTATTACTCGTTCCGTTCACATAAGTTTTTCATAATTTTTCACCCTTTGTATCCGCTACCCACTCTCCGTTCGCTTACCAAATTTGGTGTCTTATCGTTACGCATACATTGAGAACTAGTCATGTATGCTGCTACAAATAGCATCGTGTGAGCGATGTCGCGCGTGCGGCCATTAGCGACGGCGCGATTTGACGCGCGCGAACTCCAGTCTTCGCCTGTTGAGGCACATAACATGTTAAGATACGCTAAGATAAGATAGCTTGTTAAAATAGCTTTGCCATCATGACTATCAATTTTTTCCCGGGGTCCGCCCCGGACCCCGCAAAAACGATTTCCCCTTTGCTTTTTTTGCCCGAACGATTTCCAGTTTGTCATTTGACAACCTCGCGCCGGGCCCTGGCTGGGAGTTGGCACAGGGGGGTAATCGAGCATGCTAGTCACGAATACAATATTAGTTTCTGGAATTATTCATAACTTTCATCGATTTTATCGATTTTTTGCAAAGTTTGAGCTGCAGGGCTAGAAGTTGGCACAGGGTGGTAAGTGGGCATGCTGATTTCGAAAACAACACAGGGAACGAGAAATGAAGTGTAGGAGTGGGCACAGGAAAAGGCTGTACAGAAATAGGGATGGGACCTTTATTATAGTGTTTTGACCGGGCCGAGCGGAGCCGGGTAAGCAAGCTAGTGACCTAATTAAAATATGAAAGAGGGTGGGTACAAAAAACTTGCATAAGAGTTGGACAGAAAAATGAGCCACTTTGAGTTTACCATGTAATACCGACAAGAATCCAAACGAGCCACCATGGTCTGTGAAATCACACAAATTTCTGTGTGACTAGCTTGTACGAACTACTTCTAGCAATTGCTTCCAGGACGCTGTACAAACAACTGTGCATTGAAATGAATGTGCAAAAACAACAGAATGAAAAGATGAAAGAAGCAAAAGACGAATATACAGGGACTGCGTTTTTTTAGCACCCGTGGGTATCTCTTTTATCTTGTCAAAATCACTTTTCATCGAGCGACACATAGAACCAAGAAATAATTACCTCACACATCACAGAACATGTTTGCTCCAACTTTGTTGTTGCGATGCGGATTTGAGCAAGAATATTGGATATCACTCGTTGACATGTTGGAACCGCCTGAATATCACTCGTTGACATGTTGGAACCGCCTGTTACAATATAGTGGACTCTGTTTAATGAAAGAAATGCTTAGATCTGTCTTGGCTTATGCAGCATAAGGGATTACGTAGCTGATCACTGCAGCAAATCAATGACCCGTTTAAGACCACCACTCAAAAGCTTTTACAAAATACAGTGAATTCAATTTTTGAAGTAAACTTCAACACCCATTCTCAGCGCTTAATGCTACAAAAACCTCTATTGCGTCTAAGTGAGCGGGCGAATGCGAATGGAGTGCTTGCTGATTAACGAAGACGATATCCATAGTCTAAAAAACAAATGCGCTTTTACTTAAATCCGACCATTTGCCTTACTAAAAAAAACAAGGCGCAATGTACAAAACGATTTGTCTGAAAACGGCTGATTTATGAGAAATAAACTTCACAAAATTTTGAAAGACTAAGAGTGGTAAAGCAATTACAATTATTGAAATATTTCCGGCGCTCATGATATAAACATTGACAGAGTTCCGTCAATTGTTATTGTTGCTTATCCAAACCAAGTTTCACCACATCAACCAGGAATTCTTCATCGTGGATTCTTCTAACGTAAAACTTTCGATCACTTTGTTTCGTACACATTCCTTAACAAAAATGGTCTTTTTTTATTTCTTAATCTTGTAAAATATTCATTTCTTATCTATTGATGCAGTGGATTCAAGCGTACACTTTACCTTGTTTCGCGTTTCTAAATGCGTTTAGCTGTCAGCCTACAGAACTTTTGGCTGGAATCGTCGCTCCCATTTTAGTGAGCACGCACGGCATATGTAATCTGCTCTGTATGTTATGAACCGAATTCTTTTGCCCACAGCCCTGATATAAATTCAACTCGTTTTGTTCACTTTATGCTTCAAGGAGCAAAAAAATGGTAACTGACATGTTGCTTCTACAGCGCTTGTTGGTGTCCAACAAGTATTATTCGTAATGAATTATGTTTTCAAAGCAAAAATACTTGTGTACGATTACAAAGCATCATTTACATTCACAAGTGTTTTTCTTACTGTGCATTTACCTCAAATTTTGACTTCTTTCAATATTTACAAAATAAAATCTGAGTATTTCAATCGCCTCAATTTGAGAAGCATCTCGGACAACTTTGATCTTATTATCCCTTTTAATATAACAAGATCCTCACAATGTAGCTTACGTTTGAAGCAGAGTCTAAATCTCCGATATCTTTGCAGCACAAGGAAGCATATCGAATTTTTGATTAGTAAAATTCAAAAAGATCGATATAGCTATGAGCTACAAGCATCTGACAACGAATCTCTGCAAAATTTAAAATCCTCAAAGTCAACTGGGACTTTTTCTAACAGTTGCAGTGAAATAGACACTCACAAGCGTAAACGCATAAACGTGTGTCATCATCACTTTGGATGACTAAGCTAGGAGAGAACTATAGACTCGACTCCTCCCTCTCTGCCACCTTGACAATATCAAAAAAATTACACTTCATGGTATCTAATCGGCTTTAGAATTTACGTGGATTGCACTTTGTGCGAATGTGTTGTTGTAAAGTTTGAAGCATTTATCTACTCTAACGAACAGCAAAAGCGAGGTTTCAAAAAAGCAAAATTTGTAAAGCAATCTCAGGAAGAGGACTTGAAAGCAACGCTTCAGAATATCAAAATGAGTTCACAAAATGTCTGCAGTGCTACTCTTCTACATCTGGGAGAGAATCATACTAGCTGCCTCTAACTATTAATACAGTCTGTAAAGTTGGGTGATGAGAGTTATTTTTCAAAGCTGCAATGTTGCTATTGTGAGAAAAACAGTGTTTTATGAAGATCGACATTCTCATTGAATGTAGGAAAAACAACTCTGACCCACACAATGTTCAAACTATCATTTCTGTAAATTTTTCTAACCGAACTTACGGAGATTTTTTAGAGGTTCAGGAAATTTCCAAAAGTGATTTGCCGACTTTACAAGCAGAAGGGCTGGTTTTATGCAGGAAAACCTATACTGCATGTTCAGCGATTTGATGCCTTCGAAACCACGCCTTCGAAACTAGTAATGTGCTGTTTGTTTTCTTTTTCTTTTCCTTCCTGTCTTTAGAAGAACGCAAAGACAAATAAAAGAATTTGAAAATTTTCCTCTCTAAACTTTTTCAATTTGAAAAAAATTTTAAAGCAATTAAATTTTCTTTTCATCCATGCAAACATGATATATACCGTAAACAAGCCGACTGCTAGCGGGGGCAAATTCTTCGGTTGTGATCTTCCTTTCTTATCGTTTATCAAGCACGTCTGTGCCGCGCTTGTAACGTTAACTGTTACCAATTATTCTACATCATATGTGTTAGGGTCCAAGTGCTCTATTTCAGTAAAGTCAGCGTGGTATGAGAATGAGTGACAGTATAGAGACTGGCATGTGGGTGTCAACAACCCCAAGTGCACCAGTGCAAGCACTGTTTACATGTTTCTTAGCTGAATACCAATTCTTAGTCAATTGACTGAATGGGGCAGTAACTTTGCATGCAGAGAACCTTGAGAAATAAGGTGAGAAATAACGTGCAAAAAATTTTTTTTTAAAAGAAATATTTATGTACTTTCTAATAAAATCTTTGATGACAAGGAACTGCGGAGATAAGAATTCGGATAGGAGGACCGCTCCAAATCTCGATGAGAACAAATAATTGAACCTGGAACGCTGCAGGAGGACTTTGGAGGCATGCTTCTTACAATCTACATTAGCTCCTCACTTTATCAGTGCCAAGTTTGTGCTGATCGAGCTTTTCAATGAAAAGTCATGATTTGCAAAGAAAAATCATTTTTGTTTTTGCATATTTTTTCGGAAATCATACATTTTCGTATAAAATCTCACCAGCACAGATTTGGCACTGTTAGAA